ATTTGGTAGCCTACTCGTAGAATTATGATAGTTCAATGTTAATTATTTGCATTAAAAAAAATCACATAGGTAAAAAAAAAATTACATAATTATCATGATCAGGCCCGTAGGAAGCAATTTCACTTTGAGGGGGCACAACTATACATTTTCAGTTGGGGGGCACTATCACCTACCAAAATTCCTTGACAAGCGAAAAAAAAAATGTCATCAGACGTTATTATTGAGGGGGCACAAACACATAGTAGCTATATTTTCTATAGTATTCTATAAATCGGCAAAATTATTGGGGGCACAGCAGCTTCAAACCGTGTTATGTAGCTATCTAATAAGGGTCTGTCATCTTTATCATAATAATAAGGAAACGGATTAGTATAAGTTTTTAAACTTGTTTCCGAATCCTTTTTGATTTTTGTACTACTAATCTGTATCTTCTGCTTGTCATTTTCAAATAGAATATGGTTTAAACTAAAAAGGTGATGTAAATATAACCCCTGTCAAGGCCTGTATCGTAGATAGACTCGCCGTGTAATGTAGATTTGATTTTTCATTGAATTGGCTTTCCTTTAATACCAACTAACCATTTATAAACTTGTTAATAAAATCGTTTACAGTCAAAATGTAAAAAGTGATTCGGAATACTCTAAATGTACCCGTTATAAAAACAACTCATTATCAACTCAGTGGACCGATAATTTACTTCAAAATAAGCTATGGATGAATAAAATTGATTTCAGATTAACCAATATTTTGTTGCAAAGATAATGTAAAACAGAGACCGGGGATTTTGTATTTCTCTGTATTTTAAACACTCGATATGCGTACATTTGGGGCGCTCTTGCATATACATGTACACTTGTACATTCGAATTCATGATCGTGCTTATAAAAAGAGCATGTTCTGTACTTGCATGCATGTATGTATGTATGTATCCGTAAAACTTTCCGATTTTCCCGAGAATTCATCCTCACAATGTCAATTAAGGTTCCGTAATCACAATACCTTGACATTGTAAGGATGCCGAGAATTGAAAAAGTCACCTCCACTTACAATTATCATGCATGTGTACATGCAGTTTAAAACACGAGACAGAAAAATAAATTGTTGCAAACTTAATGGTTAAGTCGGCAATTAAAATGCGTAAAACTTGAAATGAATAAATGCACGGGCGGTAAGGATTGATAAAAATAAGCGTGAGATAGAGTAAAATAAAATAATATGTAAGATTCGAAATGATTTGAAACCCAATTTTCCATTAATCGCTATGAGTACACAATGTATTTTAACACCGATATGACCCCGGCTTTCTGCGGCCACGTGTGCACGAAGACTGGGTTACAAAGCGACAGAGCAGAATATAAACTGTGCTGTAAGAAGGCGTGAATTATTGTATGTTTAAAAGTATTATTTGATGTATATAATTTAATATTTAATGAAAAATTAAATGAAGAAACAATTAAGAGACTGATAGTAAAAATTATACTTTACACAAGTATTAATACTTAATACTTCCATCACTAATTGCAATTATTTGCCTTCGCACCTTTTCAATAACAATTGAATACAATTACACGGGACAGAGAAATAAATTGTTTGTTTGTTGTTGTTGTTTTTAAATCGTATTGTTGTGTCGACAGTGAACAGGCCGGTAAAAGCGATTAAAATTCGAAATGATTTTATGCACTAGTGTTTGGAACGCTTAAGATTAAATCAAAGATGAGATTAAGTTATCTTAAAGATTCAATATAAATAAAAAAAAAACATAATGTTTCATTAGTCGTTGTTTCTGCACGATGGATTAAAAACGTGATCACAGTCTTCACAGATATTTGTTTTGTTTACATGGTTTATGACCGCAGGTGGCTGGTCGATGGTGACCTCGGCATCGTGGGATCGCGGGTTGTGTTACATAACTAAAAACATTTAGGTGAACATGGAGAACGTAAAAAGACACAGTTAATGATCATTAATTATTCGATGCTTAAAGTTTAATATTACTTATATAGTTATATAGATACATTTAATTCCTTCCTTTATTAGAAGACGCTGTTCCCTTTAAAACTAAATTAAAAAGAAAAGAAAGTTGTAAAAAATAATTTATGAGTTAACCATAGAACACGTTTAAAACCTTATTTAGAAGAAAATTAACATTAAATACAGTAGGGTATATTATTTATAGCGAGTTTGTTTAAGTTATACACACGAAGAGTTCTGATTTACTTGCCGAATGAAAACGCTTACCTGTTTAAACATTGTTCTAAGTGTTATACATTTACTTTATTTTGTTCTTATAAGGTATCTACATGTAAATAAAATTTTAAAATGAATGCTTCGTAGCGAACACATGCCAGTTTATATTTTTCAAACAATCTTTGCCAATTATTACACTGCATGTACACGTTAGTTGTTTGTGCTGTGTAGAGCAACTATCAGAGTACACAATGTATTTCAACATCGAGGTGCCCGCGGCTCTCTGTAGCCACGTGTATGTAAACGAGGACTGGACTATAACACTTAAGACACAAAGCGGCAGAGATGGATGAAACTGTTTGCTATATTACAAAGACTTGAATTATAGTACATGTATATTTGAAGGAATTTTTATTTATGTTAATGTTTATTTAATTCTATAAATAATAAATGGACATTCACAAGAGTGATGGTAAAAATAATATGTGCGTAGCATGCGTAGTAATTACAATTATTTACCGAAGCCCCCATTCAATTACAATTGCAGATGAATTAAAATACAACAACACGGGATAGAGCAATACTTTTTTTAAATGTATTGTTGCGTGAACAGACAAAAACAGCGATTAAAATTCAAAATGATTTTTATGCACCAGTGTTTGGAATTAAGATTATAAAAGATCGGTAAAGTAATCTTACTGATTCGATATAATTAAAAACATAACTTTCCATTAATCAATAGCTCTTTGTACAAAATTGACATTATACGCGATCACAAATATTAGCTTTGTTTATGGCCACAGGTGGCTAGTACACTGGTGACCTCGATCAACAGCGTGGGTTACATAACTAAACATCGAGCTGAACATGGAGACCGTAATATGCATACAGCTAATGATCGTGAATTATTCAATGCATACAGTTTAAAATCACTTACAAAGTTTGTTGTAATAATAAACGTAGAAAGATAGATTTAATATTCTCCGCTTTTGAACACTATTAATCTAATTTAAAAAAGAAGAAAAGAAAGACTAGTTGTAATAAATAATTTAATAGTGAACCATAAACCACGTTATAAACCTTATTAAAAAGAAAATTAACATTAAATACCGCAGGGTATATTATTGATAGCAAGTCTGTTTAAGTTATACACATGAAGAGGTCTGATTTCCTTGCCGAATGAAAAACGTTACCTGTTTACCTGGCCTGCTTTCTAATACGTATTACGCAATACCCATGGTATACTCGAACAAAACAACATTTTCATTAGGTCAAAAAGGTGTAAAAGAACAATTTTGTTTCCAAGATCCAGATCGAAATATTTACCGTTTTTGAGTTATAGAGCAAAAACTTTTAAGGGCCCCAGATCCCTAATCATAGGGGCCAGCCCCTTTCAAATAGTATAATATGAAAGCCCTTGCAATTATGCACAACTTTTGTTCTACATGTCTTAACAAAATATTTCTAGTTTTCAAGATATAAAGGAAAATATGTCAAATTTTTTGCTGTTTTCCGCGTTCTAACTTTTGACCCCTCTCTAGCGCCATTTTTAATGCAAATATCAAAAAACAAAAACCGATGTGCACAACTTCAATGCTTCCTCTTTTCAATTTCAAAGGGTTTTGTGCTCCAATTATAACCATTTCTGAGCCTTTGTCTGGAAATCGGAGGCATGCAAAATTCAATCAAAGGGGAATAACTCGTGAACAGAAGGTAATTTCCGAATTGTATTACGGTATTCTGACAGTGTTTTGTAAAGTCTAAAAGCTCTGAAAATTTGAACAAAATCTTTTTAAAAATGAGGAAGATATGAAGCGTCAAAGTTGGCGTCTAGGAAAAAAAAAAAAAGAATAATCTTAATCATCACAATCAGTAGAAGGTCTTCCGTTGGAAACGGAAGACCTTAATAATATTAATAAAAAAGTTTTATCTTGTAAGTTGTTTATTTTTGTTTTATAATACAGTGAAATGCGTGACTTTTTGTATTTGCAAAAGGTCGTCACGCGTTTTCTCCCCCAAAAAGTTTTGGCCATGTTGACAGGTATGAAATTCAGACTTTACACATTGATCCAAATGAATTTTTTTTGCCGCAGTTACCTCAAGACCCACAATGCAATGTGAATGCATCTCACTGCTAACTTCGTTCTCATGGTAACAACAATTAAAAATGCACATAAGATAAACTCACTATGATTTAATGGAAATTGGAAACAGAAAAATTAAAATTAAGCACTTTTCAAACTTTGTTTATGGAAATGCAGCTAACATTTGACATCATGACGAAAACTAGACGTTCCAAATGTCTCATGCGGTTTGAAGAGGTGGATCTTAGTTAAAAGTCAATATCCAATGATACACAACTGCGCTCACCCCAACGGTCTCACCATCAACATATTAAAATTTTCCAATAAACATTTTACAATCAGCTCAATAGTACGCAAAACATTTTGTTTGCAGAAAAAAAAAGTTCTCTGCCACCATAGCATTTTATGGACTCCATATTCAGATATATATACATGTACATGTGCATGTTCACTTTTGCCCATAGAATAATTAACTTATTTTCTGCATTTATCATCAGATCATTATTTTGAATCTTAGATCCACACAAAAAAGCAAGAGAAAGATCAGAAGAAGGTCTTAAAGGTTTTAAAGAACAATGAACAAACATATATGACTATTGTCGAGCTTTCATACAGCAATACAATACTTAGTACACCTGTACACAGGGATATATATATTTTTGTTACTTTCCGAGATCCGAACCAAAAAGTTACGATAAAAATTACAGCCGCATCGAAAGCCACCCTTACCTTGGTGCTGAAACTTTATGACACGTGTTTTGAGCAGCTGCATATCATATGCACTCAGCACCTGCCGTTCGGCGTTCTTTCTTTTTTTTCCCGCAATGCTGCCATTCTGCCGGTGCGTTAATTAACCCAAAAGAACCCCAAAGACAGCTGAAAGAAACTCGGAAAGAAACCCACAACTCAAAAGGACCTCGACCCCCTCTCTCCACCACCAAAAGAACGTACAGGAGTCCAAATAACCATTAAAAATATAAATTAATATTATATGTCAGAATTAACAAATTTACGGTTAATGACATTCATCCGGCGTCGTTTTGGTTTTTAGAAAGGGGATGGTATAATGTCCCAAAGAGTCTAATGTCCTGATTGAATTGATGGCATTTATCTTGTAAAATAATGGCTTTAAAAACAAAATTCTGTTTGTTTTGTTGTATTATATTGATATTTTTAAATGCAAAACACTAAAAATTTTCTTGAAAATAATATTTTGTTATTCACTCTCACTGATATATTAGGGGACGATCATTTGATTCAAGCGGGGGGGGGGGGGGGCTGTGGAAATAAATAATCTGTCCTCGAAAATGTTGAAAATGAATAATCTGTCCTCGACCGGCAAGAAAATAAATAAGTACCCCCCCCCCCCCCGGATTTTTTGCTTGTCAAACTTTTTCAGAGAAGAAAAGAAATAATCTGTCCTTTTGATCATCTTGAAAATAAATAATCCGTCCTTGAATGATATGAAAATTAATAAACTGGCTCGAAAATTTTTGCCCTGATCTCGAGATACCTTCAGATTCAACTGGTCGTCCCCTTATTAAGATATATATGAAAGTACCGTTTATTCCCTTGGAATTGATATTTTTAATAATTATTCTCACAAAACTCTATCTTATGTCGTATTGACGGTCAATGTTGAATAACCTTATTGTTATGATGGATAATTATTTTTTGTATATTTAGAATGGCCCTATTTGTGATTAAGAAAATTATATTCTAATTATTAAATGATAACGTTAATATTAATCAATTGATTACAGAATTTGATATTAATAAATAAAAAAGTGTGTATTCTATATGGTGTCAATACACGGTGCACTGATATGATTACCCTGTTTGATTTTTATCACTATTAATAAGCATATTATTAAAAATCAATAAATATTAAATGATAATAAATGATATTTAAAATAAAACTTTATTATCTTTTTGTCAACTCTACCTCCACAAGAGTTACATAAAATTACTAATACCTTAATTTAAGATTCGTATTAATACTGCTACACAAACAATATTTTTAGACTTAATTAGATGTTAAGACAAGTTCCCATTTCGCCTTAATTTACCTCAGAGGTTACTAAGGCGAAATGGGAATACCAAATTTTACAGTTAAGGCGAAATGGGAACAAACCTTTGTATATACAGTCAATCATTGTTGTCTTGAATTGGATGGGACCAAGAAAAAAAGAAGTTCGAGATGTTTGAGAATTCAAATACACAAAAAGGTCAGTTTGTGACGTTTACCTCACTTCGACATATCCATGGCCAATGTATTCGAGATATCGAAGGTCAAGATACCGAATTATAGATTGATATCAATATATTTATATAGATTGGATGCACCATTTCACATACAGAAAATCTATATTACTTTTATTAATATTTTTCTTTATGATTTATAGGCATTCCTTTTTATTATATAATAAAAAATACTTTATAAATTATGTGAAATGTAAGGGGTGAGATCAAAAGATCAATGTCTTATGAAAAAATAATAAATAAATTAATACATGTAAATAAATAAATAAATTCAGGGGGGGGGGGGGGGGGGCGGTCACAAGCCCCAATGCAAAAGTTTTTGTTGTCCGATATCTACAGTTATATATAAAAAAAAATACATGAAACTTCATTCTCTTAATTGGTACATTTCTTTTTTTGTCAAATTACAAAAGAAATATTTTATTTACAGTGTGCTGAATATTAGTATAGTTTATAATTTAAAATCAACATTTATCACATTTATTTTTTTTTTGGGGGGGGGGGTCTAAATGAAATTAAACTTTGTAAATTTAGTTTTTTTGTCAGACATCGAATGTTGATCTCGCCACTTATTTATGACAACTTTTAAGAGCTAATAGGATGATGCAAACCAAGATATTTGGTTTTAGGAGAGGGAATCTTGGGATAATTTTACATGCTGGCAGAAGAGGACAGAAAGCTCTTTCTAGTGTGTTTAGTAAATTAAACAATTACTGTCATATACTCAACCCCATTTTTTTTTTTTTTTTTTTTTTTTTTACAAACATGTTAATACATAGCATACGTTCGTCTGCTTTATGGGATTTGATTTTAAAATATTTCATATATATGAATTTCTGTTAAAAATGTGTTAAAGAAAAAATATCAGTATTTATTAGCTTGTTTATTTTGAGTTAAATATATTTCCTTGCCATCTTTTAAGAAAAAAAAATTACGAAACCTATTGATTAAAACTTAACCTTAAAAATATAAAATGCTATGAAGAAATAGTAAAGGAAAATTAAAGGAAAATGATGAAGTAATTTTAAATATATTAAAACAGAATAAAATAAAAGGTTTTTGATGTATAAAAGTTATAAAGAAAAAAAAGTGTTTTACACTTACATGTACTGAACAGAGAGTGAAAGATATGTACATATTATATAAAATTTGAATTTATATGTAAGCAACTCATAGATCATTGTCTCCATTCCCCAACACACTAAAATCCACATCTACATGTATAATTAATGCTAAAAATAGCACTTGTCTTTTTCTTAGGTTAACTCAAGGTCTTAAGCGAGTAACAGCAACCAACCATATGTCATTGTTGTTTCTATATCATTTTTTTTTTATCTCTACATGAATTCTTCGCCATTTGTAAAAATAAAAAAAATAAGGAAGGAAGAAAAAATGAAAGCGACAATTTTCCTTAAAAAAAAAAAATTAAATAAAAGCGGAAATTTGGGTAGCTATATAATATCTATTTCTGCTCTCTCTACCATTGGCTCTTACATTCATCAATTGCAGTGGTTAGCACTAAATACAGTTGAACTTCGGTATCTCAAACATCGATATCTCGAATACCATGGGTATGTCAAAATGAATTGGAAGTCCAAACTGCTCTTTCATTATGTACTTAAACCTCTTTATCTCGAATCCTCGGAGTGCGTTTTGAAGTCATCTCAGTCACTCAGGGGATCAAGTGCTATCTGTTTTCTCCGTCGTTGGACGTTCGTCGGTCATAAACTTTTGACGGTTTGACCATTTTCAGCTACATCTCTTAAGAAACTGAGGCAATTTCAACCAGTTTTGGCATAAAGCCTCCATGGGTGAAGAAGAACATAAAATGTGAATTATATGGTTGTAAGATACAAATGAATAATCATTAGACAAAAATACTTTCTTATATATATTCGTATCATAGATATTATCGATACTTAAAGAACAGGACTGGATGATTAAAGGCGATTATTCTGGGTTTACTGTGATAACATTAGGCTGAAGCACTAGACTGTAGCTTTAGATAGGTGATATTGATAAATGGAAGTGTACATGTAGTTAACACTAACATAATTATATAGACCTTTTTTTCAGATTATCAGACAAACTATTTTTTTGTTCATTGATAACCCTATTTCTTTTGTTTTCTTCTATCAAATTGGTTTGCTTAATTATTTTATAATATGGTCATTCCATTGACCCTTTAGAGGATTGTAGAATATATTCAGGTGACCGTTTTAAGGTCCTTGAGCCTTTTTGTTAATTCAACATAATTAAATGCTTGCTGTAATTTTAGTCCTTTAAGTTAGATGTTTACTAGGTAGATCTGGAATTATTAGTTAAATTTGAAATAATCCTTAAAATATCAACTTTTTAACTTTATGTCAAAATTCCTGACGTGACCCCATTGTAGAGGTGTATAAGAGAGGAACAAATGCAATAAATAGACTTTTAATGCTCTAGCTAGCGAGAGTTTATGACTCATATCTAAACATATTTCCTTTTCACATATTTAATATAAGATATTAATATTCATAATTAAGTATTAAGTATTGAGAATATACGCCAATGTTTAAAATGTTATAAGATTTGGACACGTCATTTATATTTCTACACAAGGCATATATCGAAGAAAAGCAATCCTGAAAAAAAAAAAAACTTCACCATTCTGCAGGGAATCTAACATAATTAAGTGTTGTTTTCAGATTAACTATTATTCAATTTGAATAACGCAATTTAATGTCTTTTCGTTAGCATAAGTGAACTATGTTATGTTAAGAATAACAAAACGGACCTTTATTCTTAACAAAACGGAAGACAAAAATACTTTCAAGTATGGTGGCATATTTCTGCCCCCTACATGCAAGATAAATTATGTGAACAGGCAACATAATTATGTAGATATGCGACTTACTTATGTCAACATGCAAAATAATTATGTTGACATGCAAGTAACCAATATCTTTAGAGAATCTAATTTTCATCGATGAAATAACTTACCAAAGCCATTATATGACATGATACAAGTAAGATGCAACAGAATTATATTGACATGCAACTTATTTATGTTATCATGCGAGATAATTATGTAGACATGTAACTTATTTATATCAACATGCAAGATAAATATGTTAACATGCGAGTTAATTATGTCAACATGCGAGATTTGTATGCTGAAATGCAACTTATCATGTTGCATGTTGACATAAATATCTTGCATGTTACAATAGAACTCGCATGTTGACATAAATAAGTTGCATGCTGACATAAATAAGTCACATGTTGACATAAATAAGTTGTATGTTAACATAATTATCTTGCATGTTGATATAAATAAGTCACATGTCTACAATAACAATATCATGTTGTATGTTAATATAGATAAGTCGCATATTGACATAAATATCTTGCATGTTAACATAAATAAGTCGTATTTCAACATAATTCTGTTGCATCTTGCTTGTATGATGTCGTATACCGGAGTAAGTAAGTATGTTTACAAACATTAAATTAAATTGGATTCTCTAAAATGATTGGTAACTTGCATCTCAACATAATTGCATGTAGACATAATGATCTTGCATGTTGACATACTTTTCTCGAATGTTAACATAATTTATCTTGCATGTAGGGGGCAGAAATATGCCACCATATTCAAGTAAACCAGTTGCAAGACAGTTTGATTTTAATCAAAACAGAAATGCTGAACTGGATTTGGTAGATGAATACTTGGAGCTTGGGAGAATTGAAGGTGTTTTCAAAGGATGATATTAATTTTAGAATTGTATGTTATAAGTTATTTGCGATATCTTAAGAATTGTATATTAAAATTTAAATATATAGATCAAAATTTATCCATCGGAATCTGCTGCGGAAGTCTTTTTCCATATATAAAAATCTAAAATTGTACATTATAGAATGGAAAACACAGAGAAATATTTTGTGTAAAGCTGAGTATATAACTCATAACTAGTAAATGTTTTGTTTATTTCGAATTTAGTCTTTTTTAATAATGGTCCAGATTTTCGGACGAACAGAGTGAGGGGGAAAATAAGTATCCAGATGTAATGTCTAGCATCAAGGAAGGTTTAGATGAACATGTATTGACAATTTGCATTTTCGGTACCAAAGGTTACTGAAAGGAAATTTGTCTTACATTTTGTACAGAGCAATGAACGAAGAAAAAGATTTTGAAAAACAAACAAACAAAAACAAGAGGCCCAAGGGTCTTAAATCGCTCTTCAGATAAACTGCACAACCTATCACTTCTATTTGAAGCCGCTAAGTATCCTGTATATTTAGATAAAGCCTTGAAATTCCAAAGGTAGGCCATCATGACCTACATTTTAGATGAAACACTCTGAGAACCCAAGATGATTCTAAGTCAATTAGTACCTGAGAGTAGGTCATGGTGACCTATTTATCACTTGTCATTCTCTGAGGACCCATGATGCATCATCTAAGTTTGATGATTCTAAGCCAATTAATACCCAAAACATTTTTAAAATTATAACCATAAAATTTCAAAAGTAGGTCAGGGTGATCTACTTTTCAGTTGTCGTACTCCAAAGACCCAAGATGCATCAACTGACAAAGTTTGATGATTCTGAGCCAATTAGTACCTGAAATATTTAATTAAAGTCATATAAATTGAAAAGTAGGTCACGGTGATATACTTTTCAGTCCACCTACTCTGAGGACCCAAAATACATCAACTGACAAATTTTTATGATTCTAAGCCAAATAGTACTCAAAATATTCAATACAGTCATAAAATTTCAAAAGTAGGTCAGGGTGATCTACTTTTCAGTAATCATACTCCATGGACTCAGGATGCATCAACTGACAAAGTTTGATGATTCTAAGCCAATTAGTACTTGAAATATTTAATTAAATCCATAAATTTTGAAAAGTGGGTCATGGTGACCTACTTTTCGGTCGACTTATTCCAAGGACCCAAAATACATCAACTGACAAATATTGATGATTCTAAGCCAAATATTACCTGAAATATTTAATTAAAGCCATAAATTTTGAAAATTAGGTCACGGTGACCTACTTTTCAGTCGAAACTACTCCGAAGATCCAAGATGCATCAACTGGCGAAGTTTGATGATTCTAAGCCAATTAGTATCCGAAAATATTTAATTATAGTCATATAAATTGAAAAGTAGGTCACGGTGACTTACTTTGTGGTTGACGTTTTTTGAGGACCCAAGATGCATCAACTTACAAAGTTTTATGATCAAAGGCCTTAAAATGTCCAAATTTTGTATCTAAAATGCTTTAAAATCGAATGCCTGCAAAGTCAAAAAAGTAGGTCACGTTTTTTTTTATTGACGTTTTTTGAGGACCCAAGATGCATCAACTTACAAAGTTTTATGATCATAGGCCTTAAAATGTCCAAATAATGCCTCTAAAATGCTTTGAAATCGAATGCCTGCAAAGTTAAAAAAAGTAGGTCACTGTGACCTAATTTTTAATGAATACATTTTATGGCACCAAGATGCATCATCTTACAAGATTTAACGATTCTAAACCTCTCAGTATTCGAATTAATGACCTTAATTGTTTTGAAAAAAAATTAGCCATAAAATTCAAAAAGTAGGTCAAGATGACCTACCTTTTTTGACGTACTCCGAGTACCCAAGATACATCAACTGACAAAGTTTGATGATCAAATGCCTTAAATTGTTCAAAATATGCCTAAAAATCAATATGAAAAGAATGCCCGCAAAATTTGAAAAGTAGGTCACCGTGACCTACTTTTTAGTCAACATGATATGAGGTCCTTAGATGCATCAACTGACCAGATTTGATGATCCTAGTCCTTATAGTAAACAAAATATCAACATTTTAATAGAATGTAATTTTTGGTCAACTTTGAAGTGACCTTGAGACCACGCCCTTTGTCCCAGGGTAATGCCTTGAACAATGTTTAATCTACAACATATCTTCATCCTTTTGTGTAAGTTTAGTGATAATTTACCCAGTGGTTCTTGAGAAGAAGATTTTTTAGCAACCAGTACTTTTGTTTCTATTTTCCTAATTATCTCCCCTTGTTTAAGGGTCACAACCCTAGCTTTAGTATAAACTGGAGTCCTTGGGCCAAGAATACCCTGTGACAAATTTGACAATAATTGGTTCTTGAGTTATGGCCCATATTCTAAAAAGTTACGCACACCGCACAAATGTCCATAGCATTAGTTCTTTGAGCCTTTGGCTCAGAAGAGCTAATAAATTGCATAAAAAAGGCTTGATTCAAATGCAAGCACTAGAAGGAAATTTAATATCTAGTAATGAAGTCTTTTTTTTACCATGCAAAGTTATTCAAAATTATATATATCCGTTCGATAATAACAATTATTATACTTCTGTGAAAATGTTTCCTATATAAAGTTAAGAAGGTAAAATAACTATCTTGTATAGTCTAAAAATTTCCACGGATAGCAAAGCTATACCCGGAGTATAGTTTGTGCTATCCCCCCTCGGAAAATTTTCATGCAATTTTTGCCGCCAATTTTGATTTCCTATAATCAATCCATATACTGATGATGTCATACTGACTTCAATAGCATTGTGACGTCATCAGGATTTCAGCTTACTCTAGCAGTGTTATCTTATTCCAAACACTTTTTCAAAACTTTAATAATTTTTCTTATCATGTTTTGCCTATGAAACTGTAGTATCAAGTAATACAAACCCTCAGATATTATGATATACATCAGTATAATAAAACGCTTATATACTGGCTGTGATTGGGATAGCTCTTTCATCAAACCCTTGACAGGAACTATTCCCCTCGGGCAAGCCCTCTGGGAATAGTTCCTGTCGCGGGTTTGATAACAGAGCTATCCCACTCACAATCAGTGGATAAGTGTAAACTAGCAACTATGTTCTAGTATTTATAAATAGCACAAGAAAAATAGCCTGGACGATGAATAATAAGATAATTTTCTCATTCGAATACTTGTAAAATAAAAAAGTAATTTTATTAACAAATGTTCCCTCCACGGAATGTAATTACAGACACTATGTCCTCTTGATTTTTAGATTTTCCATTGTCTGCATGTAATTTTTTTGATTTCCATACCCCCAAGTAAACATCTGAATTCTTGTCGTTCTAAGAACGGATCGAACTTTGCGTAAGCGTTCAGTAACGTTTGTTTTTGATCCCGTTGCTAGATTATAAATGCTATATGCAAGTATGCCCAAATCAAGTATTATTGACAATGGTGGCAAAATTGCATCGGCAAGGGTGACGGCTCGTACAACCACGCGTGCAATGATAATTGGCAAGCCACCAAGCATGCGCAGTGCTCCAGTAGCTGTTTGAACAGCCGTCGCGTTGATATTGTTTGTATCTTCCATAATAAATCTTTCCATCTCTTTTTGGAGATCTGAAATAGATTTTTCCATGCATCGAGACCTCTCCCGTAAATTCATCTGATATCTTTCCAACATTGATATTGCATCCCTAGTTAAAACGAACTCGGTAATTTGGGTTCCTATGACAGTAGCACTACCAAGTGTTCCAATAACACCCCCTGCAACTGCTAAACCAAGAGAAACTCCTGCAGTGAATGGTGCTGTAATTAATCCAGCTATTGCCAGAGCTGATCCCACAAGTCCAACAGAGGATCCAAAGATATTCGAAATGTTAGCGTTTTGCCTACGACCTTCTAATTTGTCGATGATATCTGTGCAGAATATTTCAAGTGCCATGTTGCATCTCAACCAGTTGTCCAGTTGCAGTTTTGCTATTGTCAGTTTGTTTTTAACGTTAGTCATTTCAAAGAAAATGGTGAAATCTGCAATCAAAGTTATTTATACAAACTGTAAATAAATAAAAAAAAAAGCATTATGTAACACAGAGACTGATATAAAGTTACTAGAGATTCTTTTCCCTGCCAACGCTTTTTGTGCTCATATTTTTCTTTTTAAATAAGAAATAAAGCAAAGAAAAAAGAGAGAAAAAAACCAATAACCTGGCTGATCAGTATGCTTATGTTTTTCCACGACATTCCGGGGTGGCTCTTTCAGACAGTTGCACACTTGATCTTTTGGTACAATTCTATGATAATGCCCGGAAAATGTTCGATAAAGAGTCACATAGTAATTTGATCCACTCGATGCATCAAAGACACATTTGTGAACTGCATTTTCTCCTGCTAGATATTGACGTCTAGCAGCAAAATCATTAGGCTGTTTTTTTCTGACTATCTGTGTAAATAATGTCCATTCTGTTTCGAATTTCCTTTTATTTATTTTAGCGCAAAGTACATAAATTGGGACTTGAAAAAGAGTTGCAACTGCAAACAGTTCTAAATCACCTAAATCCATCCCGTCTTCTATGCGATCAGCAAAAAAATATGCACTTTCTTTAACTAGTGTTTTGTGGAATCGGAGAACGTCCAACGCATGATGCGCCCGATACTTGAAATTTTCTAAAAAATCGGAATCCGAGTTCTCTTTTTCTTTCATCAGTAGATGGCCATATACATCCGGATTTTCTTTGATCTCCTTCACCGTTTCCATCATTATCATTTTAAACTGCTCTTCATTTCCAAATATTTCTTTGCTGATGCACCGATAAAGAGAATAAGCATAATCCGACATATTGTCTAATAGGCGGTCTTTCATATCATCTCTTTCCATGATAAGAAGAGCTTCGGAATACATCGGTATGACTTTCATTTCCTGACGGATATCTTCAGTGAACACTGCAGGTTTAGGCTTTTCTGGCAAAAACGTTATAAGTGGCCAATGACGTTCTTTTGATGTCACTTTGCTGTTCCTCACTTGCTTCAGGTCTTAAAATACATGTTAATTAATGTTAATGAAAATAATAATTAGACTAACTTTCAATATTTTTCACAGATTAAAAGATTTAAAACATTTAAAAATTAATTTGTGATTATTAAAAATGGCTACCCCTTTCTGATGCTGCAACATATGGGTGAACCTGGAGACAATTGCAGCCAGTTTTTGGAATAATTCTATCAAAATAGCCACTCTCTCGATTGTACAGTATGGTCATGTAATATCGACAAGTAGGACTTCTTGCTTTGTTGCATTTTCTTGGAGAAATCAAAACCCATTGGTAAACACTTTCGGAATACAAAAACACGAACACGGGAATTTCTGTCCAGTCAGCAATAATCTCAAATGATTTTTGTACATCATCCACCGGAAGGCTGTAAAAGTTTAAGAAAACCTTACATAGGAATATATATATATATATATATATATATATATATATATATATATATATATATATATATATATATATATATATATATATATATTCCAAGTATTTAGTGTCAAACCATAAAATAACAGTTAATTACTGCTAGAAATCAACAGATATTCACAGATAAAATATATTTTTATAACATTCATTTTGGTGTACAATATACTTATGTTAGTCCATAATAAACACCATTGTCCTCATATTTTTAGGACAGCCGTCTTATATCCACATATTATTTACATCTCATTAGGATGATATTTAAGACCCTGTCTATGCATATGCAGATTATTTATACAGATTTCCTTATTCTTACCTGACAGGTATACTTGTATTTTCGTTGTCAAATATCTCCTTACTTATACACATTGAAAGGGTTCCTTTTCCTCCATTTATAGCATCTAAAGTTTTCCCCTCTTCCGCCATTATTTCAAGAATTTTTTCTATGTGCTCACTCATTGGTCTACTATATTCAGTAACACTGCTTTCTTGCATCATGTTTTCTTCGGTTTCCTCGTGATTCCATAAATGTTGGAAATGACGGTGACGTCCGTGCCTCTTTGAGTTTGGACAACAGGTTTTGATGTCTGTAAAAAACATTACGCGGTATTGTCAAATGTAAATCGATAATACAGCTTGCCAAAGAACCTAATATTTATGTCAGATATAGTGTATGTAACTTGCAGATGGGGGATCATATTACATGTAACTCGTGGGGGTCAATGTTTGTGGGCGCCAAAATTTTACTGGTTCGAGAGAACGTATTACGGCATTAACTCGGTGATACAAATGAATCATTGAATCAATAATTTGATAAAGTTCATTTGCGGGAATGTAAGTTTGTCGTTGAGGGTGACCCACGAAAACCACGATTATTGGTTCCCATTAATTTCACAGTATGTGGTCACTTATATGACCTATTTTATAGGTTAAGATTATATTGTATCTTTCGTTAATGTAGTCTTTCTGTGAATTTTCTAAATGCTATACATATATCTTTATGTAAGAATAAAGTCAATAAACTGAAGATTGAGTAATAGACTGGCCCCTTCCCTCATGAAAATGGCTATATGTATATGCAATACAACCCTTAGTTATACTCTTATTATACGTGTCCGTATATATGCATTTAGCATTGACTGCAAAAAGGTAATAAACTTATTTTTCTTATATAGTTTGAAACACAAAATTTGATTGGTAAGCAAGCAGGATGTAAACTTTTGATCACTCATATTGATCCCGCGGAATAAAAGCGTGACGTCACAATGCATTGTCTGTCTACAATCTAGCAAAAGAAAAAAAATAATCATGAAAATAAAATTGAAGTAACATAAGACATTCAATAAAATTGGTAATTTTTTTTCTTTCAAGCATTCATCTCTTCCAAATTTTCTACGGCTGGTGTAAAGACGAATAATGAACACCATAGAAAAGTCGAAAAATGACCCTGGTCATTGTTCTTACGGGTCATCATTCGTCTTAACATCGACTTAAAGACTTGCACGAGCTTTAACGTATATGGAATTCAGCCCAGGATAAATCCCCGTACACCTTGATAACGCCTGGAAACCTAATAATCTAGCATTTAATGAATTCCCATTCTCAGTATATGTATTCAGACATCAGCTTAAGAATTAATAAGGTCTCCAAAAATTCAATCCCACGATCAAATTAATAATGCAATTAATTACCGTTTATAAATATTGAAGTTTGTATGAAGTCTGCACTAACCAAGTTTCTGCAATCTCCTCAAATCAATCTCATCATTTATAATCGGAAAATTTCCACAAACATCGGGTGCACGCATGCAACAGAGACAATCATGGTCATTTAAATTGCCTTTAAATAATATTTCAGAAATTTTCTGGAAAACAAAAGGAGTCTTAAATGCATACAAATAACTCCCACATATAGGCAGGAACAATTTCGTTCCCTTGTTATCATTTTTGGATGTTGTTTGCTCCTTTTGAACTGGTATTACAAAGACCTCTACGTTGTAAACACTTGCAATTGCGAAAAAATCTTCAAGGGTAAAACACTGCCACTCCGTCAAATGTTTTTCAAAAGCTTCTTTGGTTAATTTTGCGAGGACTTTTTCTTTTTTTCCTGTGTCAGAAATAGTTTCCATGGCAGTATACTCGTGTTTAGTGACGTATGATTTGACATCCACGAACTGCAGGTAAACTTCGCGAAAATCATCTCCTTCCATGTGCATTTTTACACACTCTCTAACAGCTTGGGCATAATCTTTGTTTCCATAGATAATCTGGCTACAAAGAGAAAATATATTTGTTTTGGATTCAAAATGTTCTCTAGCTAATTTCGACGAAGAGTCGTTGTCTTCTCCAACAAGCATGAAGTTTCTTTGGAGATCTTTGAAATTATTTCGGAATCGTTTATCAAGACATTCAGTATGGTTTGCGTTGATTATTTCAATATGTAATCTTTTCAGGTCTGCAACATTTCCTTCTATGCGTTGGAAGCAAGGACATTCTGTATTTGTAATCAAAAGCAATACCAGCGGTGGTTGATCGGCATCGTTTTCTCGAATTACAGATTGAATTTTCAACGCTTTCATCGTGCCATCTTCACCCTCGAACAACAGAAAAATGACGGTTTCGATTATTTCGCTCACTGCATATATTTCTCGCAGTGTTGGAGCCGCTCCGCTTCGTTTGCTATTTTTAATATCCTCTTTGACTCTTCTAATCCAGGTGTGTGAGGCATCGTGATATTTTGGCTTGAATAGACTGAAATAAAATAAATGTTTCTCCTCAAATTCTGCCACATATTGACGGCATTTCGTGGATGTTCTCTGTGTTGGTGTAAGACTCCCAGCGATAGCGTAAAGCTCATCACTGTTATGGTTATGTGAAGATAAATCAAAATGCCTCTTTAGTTCTTTCAGTGAGCAACCTTGAGTACTCATTGTTAGGAAGTTTTTAGATGCGGTAATTTAACACAGGGAATCTGAAAAAAAAAGAAGAAGATTTTCTTATAAATCAAAAAATTAGATGTCCTTTTTAAATGAATATCTTTAATACATATATTATCAAATGCATGAAAATAAAATTACCAAAGGTACTATATATACGGATGCAGTATTTTCAAGGTCATTGGCATTCAATGCTTTTGGGCTATAATGGCGCTCATAATTCACGCTAGGTAAACAAGAATAAAGGTAACTGGAATAATGTTGTAGAAAGTAATCCTATATATTGTCACAAACACAAGCAAAATGTATGGGACATGTTACATGTAATCAGGCTATGTGCATGTTTCATTAAAATTCACTTTGTTAAACATTACATACTTATTTCTAAAAACTTCCAGTATAAAAAAATTACCAGGCATCACAATAATTTAAAAATAAAAAGATAAAGCGCTAAGATGCATTATTAGCTTGTTTAGAATTCCATAATGAATGTCCGTTCATTCTACTCCCCCCCCCCCCCCCCAAAGATGCTTCAACTGATCAGGTTTGTTGATTCTATGCTTCACAGTTTGCAAGACATCATCCTGACACGAGGAAAAGTGTGCTTAGCCATATAATGTCAAAAGATGGTAACAATTACCTATTTTTATTTTCTACACACATTACCCCTAAAATATAAACATTTGTAGAATACATAGTTTTTATCATGTTAAGGTAGTCCGATCCTCAGGTTCTGAAAATCAGGCATTGAATAATTGAAAATGCTCACAAAAATGTCTCTGATTTCTCAAAGTAACATGAATTTATCCACAGCAATTGTTTAAACTTTATAATTAAAGTTAATCATATTATATAGGGAAAATTAGTAAATTTCAAATAAAATTTCAGGAAATCTGAATAGAGACACTTACTATGCATTTTCTAATTGGAAACTGATCAACAAAAACATTTTTGGATTAAAAACTACAAGTATCCAGGCATTTGAAGAAAATTGCATGATTTTTATACTTATACAGTACTTTAGTTTCTTCTGTGTACTTCAACTATCCATAACGCATAGATGATAAAGTGTTTCCTTTCATTGCAAAACACCATAAATCATTTCTAATTTCATATCATGCTAATTAGCATTGGTATCTAAGGCTAAATTAAAGGAAAAGTCGATTTCTGTAAATCTGTATTTTTAACATACCTTTATAGGGTAAAAATATCAACGTTTTAAAAGACTGTTTCTAAAACTTCAAAGAACCTTGAATCACATTGAGATGCATGAAATGAAAATTGTTGCATGAAAAGATTTCATATTTAAGCTTCATGTTGAGACTTTTCGAATTAAATAATAAATTAAAGAGTTATCCTTCCTGGCTGAGGATCGGATATCCTTAAGCAAGGAAATGATTAATTTATCACCCAGAAAGTATCAGAGTATGCATAGCTATACACTGCCAAATTGATGCATCAGGGGTATAATTCTGAAGTGCAACATGTCCTTTCCCCAACATGGACTAACTGACTAGGTTTAATGATAATGGGCCTCGAAGCGATTAAGATATCATCGGGACTTGACTTGAGTATGCATAGCATACAATGTCAATAGGACAACGTAATACTTTGGTCATTACATCCTTCCCAAAATATGCATCAATCAACTGACAAAGATGTGATGGACTTTAGCTTAACCGTGAAAGATGTAACCAGGTCAATATCATATAATGGATAGATGTAGAATTTCAAAATCAGGTATCAGTGACAAACGTAGTTATGGGTTCTGAAACATTTTTCCCAAGATGCGTTAGCTAAGAAGGTCTGATTACTTTATGTTGCAAATTGAGCAAGATTTTTTGATTTTTACAAAACTGACTGCAGTGTATGCATATTTATATATAGTTGCAAATTGAAGTCACCACGACAGGTTTTAAACTATGGCATGCATACTTTCCTCTCACATTACATCACTTGACACGGTTTGATAATTCTAAGTCTTACAATGGGCAAAATATAACACTATAAAATTGTTAAATGGGATCACAGTAGCCCCTTTGTGGTTCAGGACATCCATGACCAAGATGTGACAAATGGCCAAAGGCCTCACAGTATGAAAGATACAACCTGGGCATAGAAAGCTAACTGACGTACATACAGTTGTAAAGTGGAACGTCAAAAAAAGCAAATAAACTATGTCTTAAAATAATGGACTATTTATAGTGTTAATAATGAAAAACATAACAATGTAGAAAAAACAAAGATACCTTTAGCACACAATTTTGAAATTTCACAAATTACCTTGAGAGAAGAGCTGAAGAAGAAACCCTTAGACCTAGGAAGTGTTATCAAGTATGACGAATACACAGTCTAGGTAAGTCTACCTGTTCAAATTTATAAATTTTATAAACTGAAATTTAATGTCTTATCTAAGGTGTGCAAGTTAGTGCATGTATGCTTCTTTATCAAGTAACGTACAAAGGGGTACACAAATTGACAATTGACACGTTAAGAGGTTTAAAAGGAGAAGGAGAAATATATGGGGTCCTTAAAAAAAGTATATTGGCCGAAGTTTATGTCTACGCCAATATTCTTTTTTTTTTCAAGGACCCCATATTACACCTCTAATACTGCGTTCTCCTGTGATTGTTTGTACGAGAGTAAATACGTATTTGTTCTACAATTTTATTGCTTTTTTAGACTTAATAAAGAGACTGATCTTTTCATCCGGCTTACTGATAAAAAAAAACTTTCTCCATCAAAAATCACCACGAACTATTCAGCACAAAATATTTGGTTTTGCATATGAGTAAACAGATTTTCACCTCCCCTGAATAGGTGCAAATTTGCGTACAGGAATATTTTCTGCAAATGTAAGTGCGTATTTACAGAAAGATATGCTTATCTGAGTATATTTACATGTACATATATGCAAATATGCAAATTATTTGCTATTGTGTAAAGCTCCTTTAAACAGGGTATTGCCAATTTATCCAATTTGTCCTATTCCATAACAATTCTTTACATTATAATGTCGTCTGATGTTTATTTGAGGTCAGATATTAGGTTCCTTTCGATGTCAAATGAAAACATCATGTATAAAATTTGATTTTTTTGTCTCTAGGGCATATGAAAGGTATATCGATTTGAAATCTGGTCAGTTGGCCATGTGGAGGGGGAATATTTACAATATTAAGTCAGTAAGCAGTATGAAATGCTTTTATACAGTATTCTTCTCGACCAATGAAATTTCAAGGATTTATTCAGAGGCAGGATAAAAGATATTATTAAAAGGACTCGATGTGTCTAGTTAATAATACTAACTTGTACAAAAACATGTTGCATTTCTATGAAAAAAAAATGCTTTTCAGCTTGAGAAAAAAAAAAAGAAAAAAAAAACGTTGCGGTAGCAAACGAAGAGGTCCAACTCTCATCCGAGTCACCTTGTCCTTGTTAGTCTGATGATTGTTGTTTCCTCTATTTTCTTGAGAAAAAATATCCCAATATTGTGGCTCCAACAAAGCACCAAGTGGCATGTCTTAAACTAAGCTTGAATCCACACTTTCTGGGAATACTGAACCTCAATAATACTAAGGTGACCTTGCTGTTCCAGAGAATATTAAAAAAGATTACCCCTCAATACATATCTAAAATTTGATCGCCGATCTTAATTCCATCAAAAGTTCGGTGTCCATAATTTGTACAAAGTTGAATCCAAACGAAATGGTACGTTTGCATACAATAACATTCAGTATTGCCTTGCAACTGTTAAAGTGATTTGTTTAAACAACTAATTCTATACATATATATCCCCATGTATAGACATTATATCCCAATGTAAATTCTTTCTTAGACTTTTATTTGATCCCTTTCTGTGGCCCAACCTAAAGCCAAAGACCATGGTTTGAATTAATTTGAATCTGCACCATCGAAGAAGCTTACATAACAATATAACTGATGATGCCTATTTTAAAAGAGTTTTTTCTAAATATCCCATGTAAAACTGTTCTATATTGTGACCCAACCAAAAGGGATATGATCTGAACAAATTTTGATGCTTGAATATTATTAAGACTGACTATAATCACGGCCTTGCTGTACTCGCGAAGAAAAAAAATCATTTTTACCCATATATAAGACCCCGCTATTGTACCCTAGCTAAGCTTAGCCCCAGGGATCATAATTCGAACAATTATATCTGCACTGAGGATGATTGTTTGAAAGTGAAAATTAATAAAATCTTCATGCGGTAATTTTTATATTGTTAGAGAGTTCATCGATTCTGGATAAAAATTTACTGTAATCATTGTACTTGATTTTAAAAAGTTTAATTAAGCTTTAGCAGTATTTTTTCGTGTTTTGACAACATCCCCCACGTGGAGACCGGTCCTTCGGATGAGACCGTATAAACCGAGGTCCCGTGTCGCAGTAGGTGTTGGCACGAAAAAGATCCCTCACAGTTCAATGACCCTGAGTGTCGATATATAGCCCTCCACCGGCAAGTGGTTGCAATTGCGTCTCAATATGATTGAAAAATTCTCGAAAGAGACAAACAAACAAAAACCCCCATTTTCGATCATTTGTTTACAAATTTTATTCTCTAAATTCCTTTGTAAATATAGCAAAATATGTTGGAAATTGAATTACAACTGTCTACAATTACCTATAATTCTACTTTGTGCAGTCTTGAGTTATTTGATTACTTATTTCTTGATGCAATCGTCATTTTATCGCTCACCAACTTCTTCGTACTTAACAATGTGTTTCGTCTGACTGACCGCTTCGCTACTGATCTTGTCCATTGCGATTCTGCTGCCTGACTTTTCATTATTTAGCTATGTTGTACATTATTTTTACCTTGAAAAATTATTGTATCATGATGCTGACCACAAATTTACCATTTTTGCCTAATATAATTTACCTTGGTGAACTGTTGTCATTTTATCGATCTCATATATATATCGACGCATTAAGCTGTGAAGTTACATGAATACTTCCGTATTTATATATTTCGCTGCGCACACTACTGTAGAAGGCGCCTTC